GTCCACCTCCCGGGGCTGCCCGCGCATGGCAGGGCCTCGAGAAGACCCCGGGAGGGCCTCCTCCCCCTCCTCCTCTCCCTCCTCCTCCTCCTCCTCCTCCTCCTCCTCCTCCTCCTCCTCCTCCTCCTCCACCCGCTCCCTGCTGGTCCCCGGGAGGTGGACCAGCAGTGGTCGAGCCCGCCATGCACCCAGGACTCCGGCGCGGACGACGAGCCTCACGTCCACCGCCCGCGCCCTTCGGGCGCGATCCCCCCAGCTGGCCCCGCGCCCAGCGCTGCGCCGCGCAGCTCGGGGGGGGGGGGGGGAGCGCCTGCGCCCGCGGACGAAGGTAGTCGTCCGCCGTTCCTGGTGTGCGCAAGCGAGGTCATCCGCCGCTGCCGCCCCGTCGGCCACCCCGCGCACGCAGCGGGCCCCACCGCTGTCCACGCTCCCCGCCCGACGGTTTTCCCGGCGCCTCCTGGCGCCGGGAGGCGCCCATGTATCGAGGGATCGGCCCTGCGGTGGGGCCGAAACCAGCTGCATGCAGCAAATGTCCGAACCCCCTTTTTCCTACACTATTTAGCATGGGGGAAACGGGTCCTGAAGGGCAACGGGTCCTGGACCCCAGGGCCTTCCCCCAAGACGAGCCTTTCATCCCGAACCGCTTCCTGACCTGCCGGGGCCCGAGGAGGGCCTCGAAGGCCCAGAAAAGGCGAAACACATCAGGACCCGTTTCCCTCAGGACCCGCTTCCCCCATGGCGACTCCTACCCGTTCGTTCCGCCCGAGCGTCGTCAGTGTGCCGGTGGTGGTGAGCACCCGCAGCTCCGCGCCCCCCCGATGCGCCCCGCGGAGCGGGGGCGCATCGGGGGGCGCCGGGCCCGTGTCGAGCCCACGATTCCGCCATGGCCTCGCCGGCCCCTGTTGCCGCTGGAAAGGGCAGGCGGAGGAGGGGGAGGATGAGCGGGAGGGGGGGGGGAAAGGAGGAGATGGAGGAGCAGGAAGAGGAAGAGGTCCATAGTCTCGGCCGTTCGGTCGTTTCTTGTTTTTTTTTATTTTTATTATTTTTAATCATGCGAATTACAAGGACGCTTCTTAGTAGCATTCTAAGTATGATTCTTATCATTGACATTATCAGTAGTAGTAGCTTTATTCGTGTTAATGTTAGTACCATTCGCAAAACTGTTTTCTATTTTCATATAATACTATTGTCACTATTTGTAATATTAGTATTTTGACGTGTACCAGTATTACTAATAGTATTATTACTGGTTGTACTAATACTATTATTGTGTGTAGTATTCTTACTGGTATGAGTAGTAGCATCATTGTGGTTATTGGTGTGACTCTTCATTTTGTTGTTGGCCTCATTATTAGTAGCACCACCATCATCCTCATCAGCAACAGCATCGTGATCATCATCATCACCGGCATCATCATACGCAGCAGCATCATTATTGTTAGTATAATTTCTCTAGTCTAGTTATTAAGTTGGCCCGTACTCTTACTATGGTGATTCACGTTACGATTACTATTGTTAGTGATCGCGTTATCATACAATTCTTGTGATTGTCCTTGAGGGGTACGCTGGGCATTCGTGTTGACATACTTCGCATTCGTAGCATTGCTGTTAGTAGCATCAGTATTATGATATATATGTGTTCATATGATTGGTTATTGCTTTCGTGTTGCTAGTATGTGTGCTATCATCCACCTGCAATTATTAGTACCCCACTGCTGGTATTCGCATATTCATATTACGGCTATATTGCAAAATTTTGTAATAATACGAGCATCATCAGTATTCGCATTCGTGTTCTTCTTGCTGGTGTTCGTCGAACCCGTCTGAATTCTACGGTTCATGCTACTTGTAGACGCATTATGTGTTTTACTGTTATTCCTACTTGTATTGCTACGTGTTCTCAATGTCGGAACTGTGATTCGTATGCGTCTTATTTCTATGATATTGCTACTGTTCCATGTTTGCACCTCTGGTGGACACAGCCGGCAGCTTCGAACTTCGACGGGGAGGGAAATTATGTCACACAGCGAAGCGTTTTGCGATCGACTCTGTGACTCGGGCGGGGAAACTTCGGTCCGATACCGCACTTCGTGGCGGCCTGCAGGCGAGGTTTTTTCCTGCCCCGCCCCGCCCCTTTCTCCCCGACGCCACACCATCTCCGGATATGCGAAGGGGGAGCATTAAGTCGGGCCTGTCCCCCTACAAGGGAATTTTCGGCGAAATTTTTTTTTTAAAACATACCCCCAATATATATGTGTGTATATATCTAAGAAAAAACAACAAAAAAACTGACGAAGGACCCAACCATATGCAGTTGTGAACACCGCGAATGTGGATCTCATTTTCGCTCGCGCTCCCTATGGGGCCACGAACCGTGTGAGGGGGCGTGCCGAAATGCGTGGCGGGGTCCCCAATACGAGCAAAGACGATCGCTCTGAATGCGCGAGACTGGGTGAGCCTGAGCGCGAGTAAGTCTGATTGTGAATGTGTCTGCGTGCGAATCAGTCTACGTGCATCAATGTCGACGCCCATGTCGGCACGCCCCTCACGAGGATCGCGCCCGCTTCATTTCCCTTTTTTTTCTGCCTCTTTGCCCGTGCACGCCGATGTCCATGGCTGCGGGCGCGGCGCCGCACTGAGTCCCCGCGACGCACCCCGAAGGGGTCCCGGCGACGCGCGCGGGTCGTCCGCTGCGCGGAGCAGAGAGAGTGCTAGCTGGCTGGGTGATAGCGGGCAAGACTGTGGCCGCTGGGCAGAGCGACGACGGGGGCGAGCGAGACTCTGGGCAGAGCGCAGCGCGGAATTCCCGCGACGCACGCTGGTCGCCCCGAGAGGGTCCCAGCGACGCGCGCGGATCGCCCGCGGCGCGAGGCCAAACAGTCAGACCGTCGAGAGACCGCGAGTCTCGGGCGGGCCGATCCTCAGGTCAAGCCTCGCGGATGACTCGCGGAGTTCCGCCGCTCTGACCTTAGGTGGAGCTCCCTATGGGGCCACGAAGCGTGTGAGGGGTGTGCCAAAATGGGGCGGCGGCGCCATGCGAGTTCCGCCACGGGGACCTTCGGTGGAGCTCCCTATGGGGCCACAAAACGTGTGAGGGGTGTGCCAAAATTGGGCGGCGGCGCCATGCGAGTTCCGCCACTGGGATCTTAGGTGAAGCTCCCTACGGGGCCACGAAACGTGTGAGGGGCGTGCCAAAACGGGGCGGCGGCGCCATGCGAGTTCCGCCACTGGGACCCTAGGTGGGGCTCCCCATGGGGCCACGGAGCGTGTGAGGGGTGTGCCAAAATGGGGCGGCGGCGCCATGCGAGTTCCGCCACTGGGACCTTAGGTGGAGCTCCCTACGGGGCCACAAAACGTGTGAGGGGTGTGCCAAAATGGGGCGGCGGCGCCATGCGAGTTCCGCCACTGGGACCTTAGGTGGAGCTCCCTATGGGGCCACGAAACGTGTGAGGGGTGTGCCAAAATGGGGCGGCGGCGCCATGCGAGTTCCGCCACTGGGACCTTAGGTGGAGCTCCCTATGGGGCCACGAAACGTGTGAGGGGTGTGCCGAAACAGAGACATGCGGAGAGCAAAAGTCAGGATGGGGGAGGAGGGAGGGGGGAGGAGGAGGAGAGGAGAGGAGGACGCGGGGCACCGTCTCTTCAAAACGAGGACCCAACACCACAAGATGGTTGGGAAAAAAACTTACTATTTTTGGATTATTATTTGAATATGTTTGGGGTATTTTTCATTTTTTGTCGAAAATCCCCCTGTAGGGGGACAGGCCCGACTGAAGGGGGAGCACCAGAGCCTTCTCTGTGGGGCCCCGCACCTCGGAGAGCGGGGCGGGCCCGGGCGCCGGGGCTGCCTCGGCCCCAGGAATCGGGGCCCCCTGCCCGCGACGGACAGGCCCCGAACGACACGCGGGGCATCGCCACTCGTCTTCTTTGGCTTCTTGTCAACGGCGCCTTGGCTCGAAGCCGCGGTCGCGGTCGGGACAGCGAGGGGCGCACCGGTGCCTGAAAATGGGCAGGGGAGGAGAGAGGCAAGGCAGCCGCAGGCGGTGGGGCGGGCAGCAGGCAAGAGCAGTGGGGCGGCCAACAGACCAGAGGACGGCAGGAGCAAGAAGCGCCAGGGAACCTCAACTCCAGGAGACTGCGCATGCAAGTCATACGAAGGACGCTGCGGTAAGCAAGGCCACTCTCAGAACCAAGAAAGCGACCGCACACGACGTCACAACACGAACAGATGAGCGAAAACAGACAGCACAGGACGGCAAGTCCTCCAAACCACGGGGCCGAACACGATGACGGCCAGAGCCAAGCCAAACTGAGTCTGAACGAAAGGCGGACACAAAGAGTCCGAGCACGACATGGCGCGGTCCTGGAAGTACCACGAAACAACACGAGCGCGGCGACAGGCAAACCACCAGGCCGTGGAGAGATCGTCTAAGAGCGCGAGGGCGGCCAGGAACGGCCGGCAGAGGCTCGTCTCCCCCTCGGTCTGGGCCAAGGGCTGCGGCACGCAGGATGAGGGGTGCTTCAGGAGCTGCACCGGTAGATAGGGGAACAGAAAGTGACATAAACATAAAAACTCGGAGGTCCGCGCGGATTTCTCGGATCGGCGCTGGACCCCCATCCCTGGCGCGCGGAGCGCGCCAGGGGCGGCGCCGGAAGCGCCGCCGGGGGGCTCCAGCGCGGATCCGAGAACTCCGCGCGGACCTCCGAGTTTTTATGTTTTATGTTTATGGTGGACCAGTCAGGATCGTCTTCCCAAGCCGACTTGGAGACAGAGCACGAACTACAGTCTTGGTGCTTCAAGGTCCCAGGGCCTTGAGGGTCCCATCCAGCCGATCACAGGACATGCACGGCTCCCCTGCTGATCCCGTGAACTTTCAGCCATCTGCGCGTAGGTGGGGTAGCTGCAAGGCCTGCGGCAATCCTGGGCCAGGCTCTGTCCGCTCGCCTGTGGACATGCCAACAACTCTAACCATGCCTGGACAGCGTTGCCGGGGAGGTGCACTCCTGGGCCACGGTGCCCAAAGTGAAGGTGAAGCCCAGTCGTGAGACATCTCCTCCTCCTCCTCCTCCTCCTCCTCCTCATCTTCCTCCTCCTCCTCCTCCTCCTCCCCCCTCCTCCCCCCTCCTCCTCCCCCTCCTCCTCCCCCTCCTCCTCCTCTTCCCTCCTCCTCCTTCGCCTTCGAGGTAACGCAACGTCCGAGCACTCGACGGAAGAGCTGCAGGGGCCCGGGAGCCGGGGGCACGACCTCCGCAGGGTCGCCTGCCCTCGGGAGGATCCCCGTGGGGGCCCCTCGGCGGGCGGCCCGAGAGCTCGCAGCCCACCAAGTCAGAGGAGGAGGTGGAGGAGGAGGAGGAGGAGGAGGAGGAGGAGCTTGGAGCGTCCGGGGGGGACAGTGTACGAGTAGGAGGAGGAGGAGGAGGAGGAGGAGGAGGAGGAGGAGGAGGAGGAGGAGGAGGAGGAGGAGGAGGGAGGAGGAGGAGGAGAGCCCGAGAGCTCGCAGCCCACCCAGTCAGGAAGGAGGAGGAAGCAGCTAGGTGGGCGGAGGAGGGAAGGCGGCAGGAGGAGGGCGGCCTACGACAAACATGGGCCGGAGGCGGTTCTCCATGAGGTGCCGCCACTGGCGGCCCCAGTGGTAGGCGTAGAAGTATGCGCAGCTGCCTCCCGCGGCGCCGGCCGCGTCCGGTTCGGCGGGAGGAATGGCGAGGACCAGGTCGGGCCAGACGCGACTCACGACTGGAGGGGGGGGGGGGGGGCTCCCGCGGGGTGGCGCTCAAGGTGGCTTGCGCCCCATGCCACTCCCCGCGCCACCCGCGGAGCCGGCCCCCTTGGCAGGGGGGGGGGGGGGAGGCCCGGAGGCCGAGGGCCGCGACCCGAAGGAGCTCCCGTGGAGACGACGTGGGCGCTGGTCTTGCTGGCACCGCGTGGATCGCTCCATCTCGCGGCTGGCGATGGCAGGATAGCGTGCGATGGGCACCGCCGGCCCGCCTCATCATACGCTGTCCCCCACCTCGAGGCTGGCGACCCCACCTCGAGGACGGCGACACAGAAGGGGCACTCGCGGGGGATATCGCCTCACGGGGACGGCGTGCTCTTCGGAGACCGACGCTGCACGCGATCTCTCAAACGCCAACCGTAGGCGCAGTCCGTTGTCCGACAGCGGAGGTCGGTCAAGGTTGGCCTGGTTCAGGCCGCCTTTGGCCTTCGGCCTTCCCGCGCCGGCGTCGCCGCCGCATCGACGCGGCACGAACCTGCCGTAAGGCTCCCCTCTTCTGTTGGGGCCTCGGGGGGGGGCCCTCGTCGCCACGGCTGAGTCAGCCTCGAGGTCCTGGTCAGGGCGCTCATGGTGAGGTCCAGGGGGTCCACGTTGTGGGCTCAGGAGGAGAAGGGTAAAGAAGATTTTCAGTTGATTATGATGGGTGAGCGGGCCGCAGGAGTTGCAGGGAAATCCAGAGAGGCCCGAGGCCGAGACGACGAGGACAAGGGGAACATCATAGGATGGGGAGGAGGGAGGGAGGGAGGGAGGAGGGGACAAGGATGAGAAGCAGGAGGCTGGAGAAGGGACGAAGGAATGAGAGGAGGAGGAGAGAGGGTAGACAAAGTGGACCCCCTTCCCCCTCCCCATTCGCTCACGCCCTATGTGTCAGAGCGCGCGTGCACGTCAGTCAAAATGTCCGTGCGGACGTACAAGTGCATGTGCACCATATGTGCATGAATCTCTCCACAACGCATCCACTCGTCATTGACTCTTCAGGTTCGATATATGCTGACCTGCGCGCGCAAGGACGGAGACGGAGACGGCGGAGACGCCTGCGGACATACCCACTTGGGCCTTGGGTGGAGCTCCGTATACGGCCACGAAACGCGCGAGGTGCGCCGAAGATGGGCAGCGGGGACGCGTGCGAACATGCCCACGTTGGCCTTGGATGGAGCTCCTGGCGGGGCCACGAAAAGTTCGAGGGTGCCCCGAAATGGGCGGCGGAGACGCATGCGGACTACCCACTGGGGCCTTGGGTGGGGCTCCCTATACGGCCACGAAACGCGCGAGGTGTGTGCCGAAAATGGGCGGCGGGGAAGCATGCGAACATGCCCATGCGATCCTTGGGTGGAGCTCCCCATGGGCCACCCCAATCCCGTCACCTGGCGTTGCATACCGACCCTGCTCGAGCCTGCTCGGATCGCCACCTGGCTTTGAGCCTTTGCACGGCCCTCGTCCTGGACGCACCTGGACGCGCCTGGGCCGCAGCACACACACACACACACACACACACACACGGGAACTACGCGGTCTCGGGTGACCGCAGATCGACCGGCGCGCTCGCCGGATCCACAGCGAAACATGTCGGGATTCGAGGGGGAACGCAGTGCGGACATGCCCACTGGGGCCTTCGGTGGAGCTCCCTATCCGCCGGCCCCCGTGTGGGGCCACCAGGCTGCAGGCCTGAGGTTCGCAGTTTCCTGTACCAGTTGCAGCTTCCAGTTTCCACTGTTACAGTTCTGCT